AAGTTAGGAAACAACGTTAGGAAACAAAACTTCCAGAACACGGCCACACAGCCTGGAAGACCCACACCAGTCACAGCTTGTAGAGTCTCCTTCAAGTCAAGCTCAGCTGCTGGTAACTTCATAGACACCTCCATGTAGTTATTGTCAGCAATATTGAAGTGGGTTGCCACTCCTCCTTCTGGGGTGTTTGTTCTACTTCCCAGTGAAGCCTAGAGCCATGCAGTTCTCCCACCTAAGTCTTAACCAGTCTCAACCCTGTGTAGCTTCCAAGCCCAGATGAGGTCAGCCGGGTGCTTCAACTTGCTGAGCCTTTTATGAGCTTAAGGGTGACAAATGGGAAACTGACTGCGTATGGAGAAGAGAGAGTATAGAATCAGAATGCAATCAGTATTTTCTGACAAATGAAACTTACCTAACCAATGGCTGGAAAGAAAAGCACAGGCCTGGAATATTTTTGTATTTTACAATAAGGTGAGCCCCATTCTCCAGAGTTCAAAAATCCTTTCCTGTCAAAAAAGGAAACAAAGTGAGTGTTCATGTGTGTTTGCAGCAGCACAATGTTTATCAACAGCAGTGGAAGATAAAATGGCACCGATGATTTGAATTTTGAAGTGAGAATATTCCTTTCCCTCCCTTCTCTGTCTAAAGAAAAGAGGTATATTCTCTGTTGTTATCTTCTCATTTGGAGAAGTCCCCCACAGATGCAGACTGTTTACACTCTCAGTGTGGGCAAAGGTTGCCACTGCCCCAAATACTGTAAGGCAAGAACTCTTATCACAGAGAGGTTCCTTCAATAAATGTTTCCTGCTCAACCATTCAAATCAACAGCAAAAGCAGTAGCTTCACAAAAACAAAATGCTTTTTCCATGGAGGCCAAGCAGCAATTAGTCAATTTCAATTATGGATGGAATGGGAATGAACAGAATTAAGCAGTGTAAATGATTTATCGGTAACAACACATGAAATCATTACAAAAAAGTGAGAGAGAGGTCATCCAGCCTGTTGAGTACTTCTAAGACCCAAAAAACCAGTTTGTCTTATTTATTCATTTCTTTTATAGCTTGATATGCTGCTTTCAGGACAAAATCCCCAATGAAATCAAAAGCACTTACAAGAGGGTTTAACTTTGGTGGCCTATTAAATTTGTTCCTGTAATCTCTAAAGTATGCATATCAGTTTGACACGGGTTGGAATGCTGCAATGAATCAAGGTTTTTTTTTAAAAAAAAATAGAAAGGTCAGAGCACAAGA